CAACAACAAAAATCCTAGTCATCCTAGTCAGTTTTACAGCGCTCATCCAATAGTAGCCTCAACAGCTCTAATCCAATAAAAAATGAAAAATAGAAGTGTCAAGTTCTAGACAACTAAGCCTCTAAAACTACAGTATATATATCGTGTTATATTTATTACCAGTCATTATGTCAAAACTATTTCCCCAGTTACTTGTCTGTTAAAATAAAGAGGCTTTCATGCTGGTATTGAATGATAAGTGCGCACTGTGCAGATTCATGCGTTTAGAACTCTGTGGCCATAAATCCTTAGTCAATACACCACTAAGAGCCTGTTGCTTATCATGTGGCATGAGACGCATGATCAGACAGACAGGACACATGCATCAGCGGCTTTATATAAATCTATTTTTGCTGAATGTATGTATTTTAAGCACATCTGTCTTCAGTGTGTCATTCTTGATTATTTATAATACAATACCAATTGCTTTGGCCCTTCTGTCTCTCTCCAGATCCTGGGATAGGACATGCTTTAGAGCCCTTGTTTTTTTGCTTCTTCGTTTTGTATTTCTGCTTTTCCCTGCAAAACTAATTCCAAATAAATAAATCATGTTTTTGGAATAATGCAGTGAATCACAGGAGACAAGCGTGGGGGCTGTAAAATGCTCTTCAGCACTGTCCAGGGCCAGAAGAAGAGTGCCTGCAATCTGGGCGTTCTTGTGAATCCACTTGTTACAGGAAAGCAGCGTCATGATGCTGCACTTTGTGATGGAGTTGCAATTATCTGTTAAACTAATGTGTTAAAAATAAATTTGATTTAAAATGTGTGAAATTCGTATTTATTTGCCTTTGATCTGTAATTGCAAAACATTTCCCTTATTATTTGGGTGACTAGGAAGATATAATAAATTGAAGATCTCTAAGCCTGTTTAATCAGTGTAATTGGACTGTCATTCTGAAACCCACAGGAGTATAATTACTATGAATTAGAATCATCATGTCCATCCCCATCCTCACCTATGGTCATGAGCTTTGGGTGGTGACTAAAAAATGAGACTGTGGGAATAAGGACCAGAAATTAGGTTTCTCTGTAAGGCTGCTGGGTTTACTCTCTGTGACATAGTGAGGAGCTTGGAAATCGGGGAGGAACTTGGACTAGATCTGCTGCTCCTCTGGATGGATGCGAGCCAGTCGAGGTGGTTTGGGCATCTGATGAGGCTGCCATTCAGACACCTTCTGCTGGAGGCATACCAGACGTGGCCTTCAGGGAAAAGGCCCCGGGGCAGACCCAGGACACACTGGAGAGATTATACAGTATGTCTCAGCTGGCCTGTGAACACCTGGGAATCACCCAGGATTGCTGGGGAAAGGAAAGTCTGGTGTGCCCTCTCCAGCGAAAAGCACTGAGAAAATAAAATTAGATGTTATGAGAATAATCTTCATTGAATATACAGTAGCACCTTTCATGATAAATCCTCATAAGGTGCTTTACAGTAAAATCATCAAACAGTATAGACAGTGCTATACAAGTGAATACAGAGCATTATACACGATTGAAAGTTAGAATAGAAAAATGAGCTTTAAGACAGGATTTGAAAGTGCTGACTGATTTGTAAGATTGGCTGGGAGATCATTCAACAGCCTCGGAGCAACAGCATTGAAAAGCCCACCAATGAGACCCTGCTGACTGAGTCAGAATCCCTTTATGTAAATGTTGTGCTGAGAGGTATCATTGTCTTCAAATAAGATGATTATTTCCTGAGCAATCTGTGCTTTTTCCACCGGGGCATACATGGTTTTTGGCTTTCATCATAGTTTTCAGGACTGCAGCAGATTGATTTCAAATCTTCATTGTTTAACTAGGGACTCAGGAAACTGGTTTGTACGCAGAACTGTGTTATGGTGATTTTCAGATCATGTTTTGTAAATTTAGAAACAAGCTGTTAAAAGTATAGTGGTAACGCTTTGCTAGAATGAGTCTAGAAACATAGCTCCTTTAGAAAAACTAAACAACACGATTAAACAAAATGCATTGTCCTTTAATACCATTTGTGAAAATGACATTGCAGGTGTGCGATTATTTATAAAGGTTCACAGCAAGATCTGAAAGCTAGGAGCGGGACTCCTGGTGGAGTGATGTCAGGTGGAAATAATGAAAGAAACCATGAAGGACTTGAGAGCTGACAAGGACTTTCTGCAGGGGTAGCTCAGTTAAAGTGGTCCTGGTGTGTTCTTATGTACTGTCTGTTCTTTTATCGCGTTGTGTAGTGTTTTTGAAAGAGTTATGATGAGCAATGATTTTTAATCTCATTCAAGTATGGTCTTAATAGAACAGTTATCAGTATTAAGATATGGTTTTGTAGCTGTTTCTTTCAGGTTTCTTCTCAGATGCATTCTTTAGGCATTACACAGCACTCGTCTTTTAGCCATTACGCACATTTCCACTGCCGCACGACAATCTGAAGACGATTCTTTTCTTGAAATCCAATATCCAATTACTGTGATCTGTGATTTACAGCATTTGCAACATTTATGTTTGTATGTGTTGTATTAGACGCAGAACATGAGGACAGACCTTCACATCCATGCAATAGCCCTATACCCTTGTACTCCTGGGTGATTTAAACCATCCAATGATTAATAAATGGATCCAATAGTATTTTGTGTATAGAAACCCATTTTGAAAGATAAATAGATCTCATTGTATTTCCTTTGTCTTCACATCGCCTGTCCGGGATTCGACTGCTTTCTGTTGATGGGTCAACAGCGCCAGGGCGGTTCCTCTGGTGCAGTGACTCAGTGCCTCCGTATGATACATCACTTTCCCACAGAGCAGACTTTTCCATGGGAAGTCATTGGGAATTGAGAACATGACGAGGAAAATTGAAGGACTGGGATTAAGTAGGAGTGAGTCAAAGAAGCTTCAGACTAAACTCATGCAAAACAGATGGGTATCAAAGGCAGGAGCATTGAGATAAGCGTGTTGTAAAGGACAAAGTAGTTCATCTTCGGGATGCTCAAGTTGTTCCATAGATTCCCTCTTCTCCTAGTATCCTTTTCAAAATGGGGGAAAATAGAACTACAATTTTGTTTGACTTGTTTGAATTAATGATAAAACACCAATTGCCTTAAAGAAACAAAACTAAAAATGTATATTCCATTAAAACTTTATACAGCAGACAATTGTAATTATTATGCACTTATATTATACTCCAGCCAGCAGCCATATCACCCTGCAGCTCTCAACTGGCTACCACTGAAACTCAGCAGGGTGGTGCCTGGTCGGTACCTGGATGGGAGATCTCTTAGGAAGCTATGGTTGCTGCTGGAAATGGTGTTAGTGAGACCTGCGGAGGGTGCCCACCCTGCGGTCTGTGTGGGTCCTAATTCCCCAGTATAGTGGTGGGGACACTATACTGTGGTGGGTGCTGTCTTTCAAATGAAACGTTAAACTGAGGTCCTGACTAGGGAGTTATCCTGATGTCTGGGCCAAATTTCCCCCCTCCGCCTTTACCGTGGCCTCCAAACTGTCCCCATGTATGATTGGCTTGCACTTGTCCAGAGTGTACCCTGCCTTGCGCTCGTTGCTTGCCAGGTAGGCTCCGGCTTCCCGTATGGTATAAAGCAGTTTGGCAAATGACATGACATTATACTCCTGACAGAAGACAGGAAGAAAAATATTCTTGGATGTAAAGGAACAAGTAAAGGTTTATCCCATGCTGAAAAGAGAAGAAAAGAAACACAATGTTTCGGCTGTGGAGCCTCCTTCGAGTGGGAAGAAGAAGAACCAGACGAAGGCTCCACAGCCGAAACGTTGTGATTCTTTTCTTTTCAGTGTGGAATAAATCTTTACTTGTTCCTTTGCAGCCTATGCATACTGACTTTGTAGAGCGGTGTCATCTTAACCATCACCATGTTAACACCAGCAAGACTAAAGAAATGGTCATGGACTTTCAAAGGAATAAGTCTCCGCTGAACCCTGTTTCCAACCAGGGTGAGGACATAGAGGCAGTACAGTACAGTCCTACAAGTACTTAGGGGTACACCTGGATGATAAGCTGGAGTGGTATGTTAACACTGACGCCCTGTACAAGAAAGGTCAGAGCCGACTCTATTTTCTTAGGAGGCTCAGGTCCTTTGGTGTGTGTGGAACACTGCTACACATTTTTTATGAATCCGTGGTGGCAGCGGCCATCTTCTACACTGTTGTGTGCTGGGGCAGTAGCATCATGACAAGAGATGCAAATAGGCTCAATAAATTTATCAAGAAGGCTGGCTCTGTGTTGGGGATGAGCCTTGACCCCTGGAGGTGGTGGCGGAGAGGAGAATGCTGACCAAGCTCACAGCCATCATGAACAACGCCTCTCATCCGCTACATGGGACTGTTATTAGGCAGCGGAGCACTTTCAGCACCAGACTGCTCCAGCTACGGTGTTCAAGGAAACGTTTCCACAGGTCCTTCCTCCTGGCTGCTGTCAGGGTGTATAACACTGCCCTAGACTAGGACTGTTAGCCCTCCATCTGCTCGTCTATGGACAGCATGTTACACTATTGTACTTTTTGGACACTCAGTCTGTATGTACCTATGCACATTTTGCACATATTTTATTGTTTTTTTTTATCTTGTATTGCTGTACTTATTGAATTTTAATTTTTAGTCTATTCTGATGTCTATTTTTGCTTGTCTTGGGCTGGGCTACTGTAACACCTCAATTTCCCTTCGGGATCAATAAAGTCTTATCTTTCTATCTGACACAGCTACCTGCTTGAACTATTCTTGGATGTATCTGATTAAGTCAGCATAATAGAAAATATATATTCTCATTTTTAATTTTATATTTCACAGTGGAATCACAAGTTATTTGTGTCTCTTAACTGGCATTTTCAGTAACCTCACTTTGCAACACAGGCAGTCCCCCTGTTGGCTTTCTGAACATGCTGCCTGCTGAGGACTTGAAGAGGGCAGCTTGTGGGAAGTGGGTCGTCTCATGTTGTCCTTCTTGTCTTTTGTCATTCTTGTAGAGGTGGAGATGTCACTGGGACGGAAAGAGGCTTTTGAGATATTCCGGAGGGACCATGAGGACAGAATCAACATTGAGGACAACAAGGCCCTACTCAAACAGAGGTGATCTTCCAGAGGCTAGCCTGGGATTGCTTGATCATGCAATAAGCACTCCGAGCGGCTTTCAAAAAGCATACTCTACAAGATTAGGTTTCCGAATCTTATATTCCAAGATTACCCAGCCCCATCTACAAAAGTGACAAGATGAAAATATTGGCTGTGATTCCTTCAGTGTTTGTGAGTAACTACACATGAGAAACTGGCCGCAGACTGCATGATTCTGGCAGTGCAGGCCACCAGTGCCATGAAGAAACAAGCACAGGTTTGAGCTTTGTGTTGGGTATGACCTTGAAATCTGAACAAACTTAATTTTTTTTTAATTTTCATATGTTGCTGTGGGCCCATCGCTAAAAGACAAAAATAAGCAGTGCTAACTCTTCATGTTGAAGAACTATATCCATGGCCTCATATTAAGAACATGCAAAAGGTTACAAACAAGAGGTGGCCATTTTGCCCATCTAGCCTGTTGGATAGTTAGCAGATGATTGATCTGATGATCTCTTTCAGAGAATAGGTAGTAGTAATGCTAAGATTGTATGTGGAATTCGATGGGCTTTGTTGAAAGCTACAAAGTGCAAATCCTATGAAGTGTTGGCATATAAGGTGAGATCATACAATATGAGTCATACAATATGCTCATCGGGATATTAATTGCTCTGTGTTTCAGAAGGCTATAAGATTTGAAAGGAAATGACGGTAGATCATGTCATTCGATGATGCCTCTCGGATGTCCTGCAGACAGCCCGTAAAGAAAAAAAATAAATGTATCTTTCAAAATCCTACCTGATCTGGCATGAGCATACCAGAGAGTGGGTCACGTATTGCTATGGGCTAGGGAGGTACACATTGTGTACCGCTCAGCATCTCTTGATGCTGTGCAGTCGCGCAGAGACAGGCTGAGCCTGTGTGTCCTGTGATCCTGCCGTCATTCAGTCACAAGAGGTGACTGGGGAGCAGGAGCAGCAAAGATGCTTGGCTAGGACTTGGTTCTGTTGTTTGCAGAACTGGTTTTGTAGGATTCGTTCTTTATAGCAGAAAACAGGATAAATCAAATCTAGTTGAACTTTAAAAAAAGCCAGCAGAAAGACGAGAAGAACATCCAGCCTAGACTGCTCTGGTGTCTGGAGCCTCTGCTGGGCTGACTCTCCTCCTCTCTCCTCACGGGATACAAAACCACACTTTGTATGAAAAAGACAGAAAACAAAAGAATTATGATTTTTGGGGGAGTACAGTAAATCATTCCCAGGGTGTAATAATGCCTTTTATTTTTCATTTCCCCTTCCAGTCCTTTTGATGTTGGCATGATTTAAGTGTCCAGATTCCCAAAGTCTGCAATTAATTGTGTTTCCAAAAGCATTGAGGTTTGCGCCATGCCTCTGCAGGGCATGAGTTCTTCCTGTGGATTCACTGTATGCCACGAACATGTGCCCTGGTGCCACACAACAGCTTTCTATGGCACGCACTGGTTCGCAGAGGTGCTGAATGAGTACATTATAGGCACAACCATCAGTTATGTTTTTAATACACAAACCCTTCAACACTTTAGTTTACATGAACCTTACTCTTTAGCAGGCTGCATAGTGCATTCCAGTGCCTGTGTGTGTCTTTACTGTGATTAGGCTGCACAGTACACTTCAGTGTCTGTGTGTGTGTGTCACAATGATCAGGCTACATAATGCACTGCAGTACCTGTGTGTATCACAGTTATCATGCTGCACAGTGCACTGCAGTGCCTGTGTGTGTGTGTCTTCACTGTGATCAGGCTGCACAATGCACTTCAGTAGCTGTGTGTGATCAGGTTTCACTGTGCACTACATATCTGTACGTGTGTCATAGTGATCAGGCTGCACGGTAGCCACAATGCAGTCTAGCTCAACTTAAATGCTGACTACTGAGGTGACTTTGCTATTGACTTGCCTCCTCTGGGTTTCTCTGACAGGTTTGCTGAAGCCAAGGCCTTGGGGGAACAGGTGAACAAGGCCAGGGGTAGAGTCAGTAAGTATCTCTTCTTCTCACCTAAATCTGGATTCTGCTGCTTTTAGCATATTTACAGGCTAGCTGCAGGACAGTGTGCTCATAATTGTCACTTGACATCGGAAATTTGTATTTTCACTCTTTGGTGTCATTTAAGGATGAGTTAAGACAAAGACATTAAGGTCTTGGACCATGGTTGTGTCGGTTTGGACAGACACCTTCACCAGCTTGTAGTGAGGGGAGCTTGGAACGTCTGTGTGCCACAGACAAGCTGGATGCTCTTTAACTCAGTAGACAGTAAGACCCAGGGATAATATTTGCCTTTAACAAAGGAAATATTGTATAAGCATTTTTAAATTATTGAGTGGACCTACAAAATGGCAAAAAAGCATGATACATGATATATTATATATATATAAAAAAATGAATACTAATGTGTGATAGTACCTAAGAAACAGTACCCCCAGTCATCAGTTGATGATGGTAAAACAGCATATTCTCTCTCACAGCTCTCTCTGGAAGACACACAGCCAGTTCAAATACAGTACTCAGCCATCTCTAGAGCACACACAGACTGTTTACACACAGAGCCTGTTAAACACAGCCCTCTGCAGAATACATACAGCCTGTTCACACACACAGCCCTCTCTAGAGCACCCACAATCTGTTGACACACACAGTCTGCCTCATCACACACAGCCTGTTCACACACACAGCCCTCTCTAGAGCACCCACAATCTGTTGACACACACAGTCTGCCTCATCACACACAGCCTGTTCATACACACAGCATCTCTAGAGCACCTACAATCTGTTTACACATGCAGCCCTCTCCAGAGGACACACTGACTTTTCACACACAATCTGTTCAACACATACAACCTGTTCACACACACTGCCTGATAACACACACGGTCTGTTCATACACACTGCCTCTTCACGCACAATCTGTTCACTCATACAGCACAGTCCTCTCTAGAGGAGGGTATTACTCTCTCTGGCGGTGATACAAATGTCCAGATAAGCTCTCCTGTGCCTCTCCCTTGGACTGCCAGAGGGCAGCAGGCTCAGCAGGTCACAAAACAGCATGAGGCACCTCATAACATTTGGATCCAAACTGCCGACAGAAGGGTATGTTTTGAAACACATACTATACTATTTAATTAATTAAATAAATTACTAAGTGCACCTGAGTTTCTAAGGACTGAGAATACATTTTTCAAAGTAATGTTTAGAGCACAGGCACAGACGTGCTCTGCCTGTTAAGGAAGTTGCCAGAAATTTACAAAACCATGGTAAGTTTAGGTGATACCAGTTTGTCATCTTAATTTTGCTGAACTTTGTGAAGTCACAAAATATACTGTACTCATCTGATTCTTTTTAATTGAACAATTGTAATGAAGGATTCTAATCTCATATTTCACCAATGGAGCGATTCAGTTATCCAGACAACATAGTGTTTAGGGCATCTATATAGCTGCCTCTTCTGGAATTAAAATCTTTCTCTGTTCGTGAAAAACCAGGAAGTTTAGAAAGAAACAATAGGACCCATTCCAAAAATCTAATATTTCTTTTTCAAATGTGGTACCTGGTTGCCATGCCATATTGTATCATTCTTTTTTAAATTGCAACAAAATGAACTACTACCTTGTGTGAAGCCTTTAACTTGTTCAGTGTTACCGTACAATTCGGATGGCATTATGTGATGAGCAGGTAGTTCATTTCTGTCTTTAATGAGAAAGAATTCAAGGGAACTAAGCTAAAGTTGGTGAATTGGTGAATTTGTATTTCCAGACAGAATTTTCCTTTCCTGCCTGGACAATTATGGAAGAATCCTTCTCCCTACTTCCAGCATTCTGCCTCTTTTTTATGGTTGATTAGTTATAAAATGGGATGAGGACCACGGACTGCCTTATAAAACAGGCATGTAGGTCAGAGGTCAGAGCAGAGGGGTGAGACTCAGCAGTGACTTTGCCTCTATTTGTTTCCATGTTAAGCCATGAAAAATAAAATATTGGCTGTTAACACCAAACTATTATCGCAATTACCCTAATTGAAAACATGCATGATGTTGTGCAGAATTTACGTGACCTGAATCCCCAGACTGCCCCCCTGCCTCAAAAGCAAGCTGTGATAATGAAGGAATAAAACTTGTACGGTTTGCTGTGCTGTTCTCGGTCCCCTGAGTGCACTTTGCCTTTTTGTTGTTGAGTTTTATTTTCCATTGCGCTGACACAAAGTCTTTCTCTTCCGCCTGTTTCTTTTATTGGCCTGAAACTAGTGGTTTTATGACTATTCCGTAAGCACTTTTTTGGGGGTAAAATATCCCTGACAGGTAGAGTGTGTCTTCCAGATGATTATGGGATCTGCCTTAGCCAGGAAGGCACAATGTCATTTTTAAAACGCTGAATCTCATGGCAGCGGGAAGTAGATTGAGGCTAGACGTGAAATTTAACTCTAGGATGGGCTCTATTTAGGAATGTAATCTCTTTGGCTAGCTCTCCCCCTAATTGACAAAGAGAAAAAACTGGACCTAATAACAGGGTAAAGGTCATATCTACACTTAAAGCAAAGATGGTCACATTACTACAGTGCATTGTACAGTGCTCTTATTTTTACAAAGGGGTGGTAGGAGTTTGGAACAAGCTGCTCAGATCTTTCAAGAGCCAGCTGGAGGAGATCTTCTGATCAATTAACTACTAAATAAGAACTTGAACTTGAACTAGATGGGCAAAGACGAACTCTGGAATCAAACCAAGCCCCTTAGAGCTTTGTGGCAGCAATGCTAGATTCCACTCCACTCTGTCACCCATTATTATTGTTTGTCCTATAAATCTTGGTATAATAACTCTTCTTTTTCAGCTATGGAATGGGTCCTGTCTTTCAGGACTTCCACTTACAGTAGTTGTCCTTTTCCTTCAGTTTTTTTTCCTGCAGTGTTCCAGGTGCGGCCTAACTAATGCATTGTGTGGTTTCAGTATAACTTCTCTGTGCAAATCATCATTCTGCCTGCATTTTGATTTTTACAGCATGTCTGTAGAGAATTTATTACAGCTCTAAATCTGTTTCATTTATACACATCTGTGCCACCATTTCTACAGTATAGTGGTGCCTCTTTTTTTACTTAAATGCTAAACTGTTGCATTTTGGTCTGTGCCATCTATATACTCTATATACAGTATTTTCTTTAAAAACATTGGATATGCTTACTTTACATTGAATTTACAACCTGTCTAATTTTGAATATTTGAATGTATTCTGTTTTTTTGTATTTTTCTTAAATTATTTATGCTTAACAAAAGAACAAAAATTACAATACAAACAAGAGTACATATAACAATTCAAAACAAAAATATCGTCAGGGCTACATACTACAACATAAATTCAAGTTATGAAAAAAGATTAAACAAATTAAATAAAAATAATGTCCGCACCACTTTCATATTTTTGCATTTCGAAATAGTCTGCAAATACTCCTTTATTTCCATTTTAAAATACTCAAACACAGGGTACTTCCCAGACCACTTCATTTTATGTACGTGATAACGTGCCAGTATAATAATTAAATTTATTACAAACGAAATTTCAATATTGTTTTCAATGGGGCTGAAACTTAACATAACATCTTTTTCAACAAAACAAACATCAGTATTGGTCTCTTTTTTAAAATAATTCTGCAACAGAACATTTTTACCCTGGGACATAACCAAAACAAATACTGAATAGTTTCAGGGCTATTGTAAAAAAAAACACTTTTGTCATCTATATTAATTTTAAATCGTTGGGTAGAATATTTTTATGTATTCTGTATTAATGCATTGTTTCCTGGATGTAAAATTTCAGAATTCTTACATTTCAGAAAATGTAACTTAAGTGTTAATGATCCCCAAAAACTACAATATGCATAATTATACTATATATAGTTTGGAAAGGTGTCAAGTTCACTACAGTTAATGGTTAACATCTTTCTTCTTCAGAGGGATTTTCATATGAAGTAGTCTGCTTTTTCTCTTTTTTTTGTGCTCAAACTATTTTCTGTTTTTCTAAAAGAAGAAAAGAAGTGTGATTGTGTTTGGGGACTAAGGCTGGGTCAGGGAGTTGCTGGTCATATCTCTAAGTGCCTGTACTACTACAGCTCAGTGGATAAACAGAACAGCCCACATTTCCTTTGATTGACTTTTCACGCACATGTAAATGTACAGTACTGTGTTGTCAGATTAAACTGGAGCTGTTGTTCGTCCCAGATACAAACGAGAATAGTCACTGATGAAGATGTAATTCCAGGCCAGCTCTCCCTTAGCCATAGTTTACAGGCTACAGTAGCTCAGCGGCTCTGACCGCAGAGCCGTCATCTTGGAAGAGGTCGAAGGGTGTGCGGGAGGATATTGGCATCAAACTGCCTTTATCTTTTTCTTCCTAGTGTGACATTACGGGCTTTTTAGAGCAGTTTGGTAATTTGCTTGGCGAAAGTGGCGATAATATAAATCAAATTAGCATGACGACTTGCACGCCCTAGATGCTAACAAGCTGTGGCCTGTGGCTCTTTATGGCCCCTCCTCTTCTGTTCTCATCTCTGTAATTAAGAGCAGATTCTTCTAATTAGCATTTTATTAAGAATCCCCTCTGATTGATGGTTTTTTTATTAGTTTTAACTTATTTCACGGTCTCCATATGTGGCTAGGTTACGTTTGCTGCAAGGAAATGTTTCCAGTTAGCTTGACTTGTAGAGTTTCTTTCTTAATCAGGATCTTCATTTTGTATAATAACATCCAAACCCTTGACTGATACATGGGGGTGTGTTTCTTAAGAACATAACAACATAAAGGTTAAAAACATGAGGAGGTCTTTTCCTCACTATCATTGATTGCCTGTATGGTGATTATTAGTTAATCGGTCCGAGTATCTCATCCAGCTGTTTCCCATTTCTTGAAAGGTTTAACAACTTTGAGTCGCTTGTTTTGTACTCCCACAAGCCTTTGTGTAAACATTTGCCTCTTGTTCTCAGTTTTAAATGCACTTCC